TACCCTGAAGAACTCAAATCACTCTATAAAAAAGATATCTGCACACATATGTTTATTGCAGCATTGTTCACAATGGCAAGATCATGGAACCAACCATGTTGTCCATCAAAAGAGGACTAGATTAAAAAAATGTGGTACACATACACAATGGAATATTACAAGGCCATAAAAAAGAACAAAATCATGAATTCCACAGCAACCTGGATGGAATTAGTTTATAATACTGAGTGATCTCCCACAGAAACAAAGATCTGAGTATCACATGTTCTTACTCATAAGTGGACCTTAAACAACTACCGTAGTATTATAAGAAAAGGATTGACAGTGGTGGGAAACTATGGGGGGGCAGGGAAGGGGAGGGAGGTGGGATTAACGTAGTTAACATCTGTCTAGGGAAAGGGGGGCACACTTCATCAACAAGGGTAACTGCACAATGAATATTTGTATACCTAACCCTTAACTGTACCCCACAATTTTAAAATAAAAAATGTTTAAAAATAAGCATGTTTCTTTAATACTTTTAAAGGCAATTTATCCTAGTCCTACAAGCACAAGTAAAAATGATGCTCACCATTTGAATCAGTAAAGGAATGGAAACATACTAAATGAGTATTGACAGAGGTCAATTAAAAAGTAACAACAGTAATCCAACATTTGATATGCCTAAGAAAAAGAATGAGGTCAACCTATGTGCACTAACGTGGAAACATTACCGAGATCTGTTGGGAGGGACATATAATGCAGACTACAAGGGGGACTTCAATAAAACATTGTGTCTTTATTCTCAAGTTTAAACTTCAGCCGCCTTCAAAGTAGTCTCTGATGCAATACACCCATCAAGACACTTTTTCCACTGCTGAAAACAGTTTTTGAACTCATCAATTTTGATGCCTTTCAGTGCTTCTGCTGTTGTTTCACCTCTTCCACATTGGCAAAGCATTTCCCTTTGAGGTCTTTTTTCACCAGGGAAACAAAAAGAGTCACTTGGCAAGATCGGGTGAATAAGGAGAGTGGGGTATTGGGGTCATGCTGTCTTTGGTCAAAAACGGCTGAATGCTCAGCTCAGTGTGGACAGGTGCATTGTAACGGTGGAAGAACCAGTCACCTGTTCCACAACTTGGAACGTTTCTTCCATAAATCATGATACAACCTTCTCAAAACTTCCAGCTAAGAACTTTGGTTGACCATTTGATCTGGAGGAACAAATTCTGAGTGCACTACAAGGGTCCTGCTCTCCAAAAGATAATTCCAGTTTTTTTGGGTCCCCTTGTACTAGATATAGTATGCTTCCATTGTATAAAAATAAAAAGGGAGGAGGGGTATGTTAATGCCTGTGTGTAATACTCACACACCTATTATGACTGCATTGACACCACAGACCCATCGCTGATCCTCAGTGAGAATCAAAAGGCTGAGTTGAGAATACGAAGTCGGTATTTTTGAAAAGCTCCAGAGAGTCGGGTGACAAGCCAGTATTAGGAAGCTGGAGATAAAGATGGCAAGAGTCTGAGAAATGCCATAATCATAAAAAATACTAGGAGGAAAACTAGGAGGGTGAGAGAGCGCCACAGTCAAGAGCTGACTGATAGCTGCAAGGTATGGCTTGCTTGGTGGTGGGGGGGCGCCAGAGTAGAGTGGGACACTGAGTGAAAGCAAGTGCAGGGAGGGAGTGGGGAGTTCTTAATCCTGTCTGTTTGGTTTTTTTGAGTCGGAGTCTCATTGTCACCCAGGTTGGAGTGCAGTGGCACACTCATGGCCACTGCAGCCTCGACCTGCTGGGCTCAGGCAATTCTCCCACCTCAGCCTTCCAAGTAACTGGAACCACAGGCATGCGTCACCACATCTTTTTGATTTAATGTAGAGACAAGGTATCACTAAGTTGCCCAGACTGGTCTCAAACTCCTGGACTCAGGCAATCCTCTTGCCTCGGCCTCCCAAAGTGCTGGAATTACAGGCATGAGCCACTATGCCCGGCCTTAATCCTGATTTTTAATCCATTCTGACAATCTATCTATTGATTGGGAAGTTTAATCCATTATATTTAAAGTAATTATTGAAAGGGAAGGATTTCCTATTGCAATTTTGCAAACTGTTTTTTGTATGTCTTATAGCTTTCTAGTTTCTCATTTCCCCCAGAAGCATATGCAAGTCTTTAAAGAAATCTACAAATGAAAAAAGAGGTAAGAAAGTAACTAGGAGAAAATGCGGAGTGCAGCGATTATTTAAAACAGGAAAAACTTGAGCATGCTTAAATGTTGATCAAAACAATTGCTAATGGGAGAGAAAAAAGACATAGGAGTAAGGGGATAATGACAGAAAGGATACTGACAAGGTAGTAAAGATGGGGAGATGTGCTTCCTCCATTGCAAGAGGAGAAAGAATGGAAGTCAATGCTGAGGTTCTCCAGGGAAGTCCCTTAATTCCTCCTGTGGTGTATTTACATCCTTCTACTAAACTCAATTACTTGGTTTCCAGATTCATCCACAAGGAGAAGACACAGTCAATCCCAAAGAAGAGACGAGCTGCTACAGGAAGATCAGCAGCAAGAAGTGAAAACTACTGCTTAACAGTCAATTTCATATCAGAGAGGAGAAAGAACTTTAGCAATCTGGCAGTATCAAAATGCAAAATGTATATGCTGTTGGACCAAACAGCCCCGTTTCTATAAATGCATATTATGAAAGTAATTATTAAAAATTCACTTATATGTTTTTAAGTTTTAGTTTACAAAAAAGGAAGAACACAAACATTTTGCAGCATAGAATTCACTAATTAAAAGTGGATCTATCTATACAATTTAAACCATTAAGACTGAGCTACACATAGGGGCATGAAAAGATATACAAAATATTGCTTTCAATGAAAAATGCAAACTGCAAAACAATTTTAGTATTATCCCCTTTTTATTTTATATATAAGTATGTGTGTGGAGAAAAGTCTGAAAAAATAAATACTCAAGTTAAAAGTGGTTTTTTCTATTTTTTACATTTCTATAATTTGAATGTTTAATACTTGAGAGAGATAAACGACTTTATCAGTAAAACAGTGAAATATGGAAATAAATAACCAAATAAATAAATATATTACCTGTTAGATAAATCACATAATTCTTTTAAACTTGGAGCCATGGAATGATCTTTATAATTTTCCCGAGAGAAAAATGTCTCAAGGCCATTTTTTGGGGAAACATCCCTGTAAAACAGTAATTTACTTTCATTTGACTATTCAAAATTTCATGCTAGACTAAGAAGCATAATGGTACAACTGTAATTTTCAACTGCATGCCCTCTATACCCCCTTTCTAACTACGTTTAGTTTCATACACCAGATCCATGAGCCTATATGTGCTACTTCTTGGATCACTCTAAGCCCAGGTCTGTTATAACATCCTCTACCTCCAGCTATCAACCTTCCATTTCCTTTAGTAGTGAATTAAATCAATGTCAGAAAGACTGAAGAACTAAATATAGAACAAATTGAAGTAAAATCAAGTATCTGTCAAGAGCAGGGCTCACCTCTGGCTCTGAGGCATAACATTAAGATGTTTGGTTGCTGAAAACAAAATGCTTCTTAAGTTTTTTTTGTTTTAAGCATTATTGGGCCAGGCCAAAAGACACTACGGAGACTAAATATCCTACCTATTTTGATTACGTTGGCAAATGGGATGAATGGTGTGCCTTTGCTAACACCATCTCTAAGGTGATACATAACTTTCCATAATATCGTAAGTAATTTAGAGACTAACATGTAATAATCAATGCTTTCTATATAACAGGCATTCAAAAAATGCTGGTTATTGAAGGAATTGGAAAAATTGAAAACACTGAGCACTATTAATCTTGGAAGACCAAGATTATAGGATTCTGCGGGAGGGAAAAATAGTTCCAAGGACTACAATACTGTGCAAAAGCTCTAACATGGCTAATTTGTTTCATAATGTCAGTGGTATATAAGAGCATAAAGTATGCGCCTGAACACATACCTTAAGGTACTGGCAAAGAATGCAAATGGACAGACATACCTCTTAAAACCTACAACAAAACAATCTGCTAAAATGGCAACTTCTGGCTGTCAAACTCCCCAAATGGAAATTTTGGTACATTTGCCCCATACTCATTTCGTATTGTTTTTAAAGGAATTTATCCAAAAACCTATGCTGAAGGCATTAGCAGTAGCATTAGAATTTCTTATTTGCTATGTGTCAGTGTAGAGTTCTTACTACCTTGTCATGGTACTACATCTGTAATGTCTCACTAAATTCTAAGGCCTCTATCTGTGCATAATGTAAAAACAAAGTCAAGGGCCTCAGGGTTGAAAGCACTGTTTTCAATAAACAAATATTTATTGAATATACTGAATCGATATTCTTTGAGTCAGGTACTAATTGAATAATCTTTGTAACCTCTTGTGACTTTTGCATCCTTCTTGGCTGGCTCAGTAAGTGTGTCTTAAAATGACCTAAAGCAACTTATCTATTAGCTAGATGTCTACAAAATCACTATATTACTTAACCAGGCTCTCTATTTGCAAAGTTCTCATACACTTCTAAAATACAGTCTATTTATATGATCACTTGATAATATAAATAAAAGCTTGTCTAATCTTAAAGGGGGTATTTTTTATTATTTGTATGAAAATGGACAACATTCAAGGCCACAAGAAAATTCTAGCATCTTTCACAAAAGACCAACGATATACACATGATGGATTTATACCTAGAAACATTCTGAGTGGTGAATCATTGTTCCAGAGCGGAAGTGCAGTCAGCTATAACTCAAAAGAGTGAAAATGTCAAGAAGGTAAATTCTGAGACCCTGAACTTAGACCTCCCTGTTTCCTCCAAATCTCTCCACGCCAGAAACCCCTTCCTTCGCCAAGCACCAGCTGCACTCTACTCCATGCCTCTTCAGCAACTCACCAGTTCAGTCCAGGTTCACTCATGGCCATCTTGGAGCTCATCTTCCAGGATTTCTGCTTCACTCTAGCTCACAGTCTTGTGGCTTGGCAGTCAAGGCAGAATCCCTCCAGAATAAATAAAAACAAAAGGTCGGGGTCAAAAGCAGATACTGGCTAGGTCAGGTGCTGCTAACCCAGGTGAGGAAAGGCCTTGCCCTGACTATGACCCTCTGCTGACTATGGCGCCTAAAACAGCACCCGACAGGCGCCTGCTCCCAAGGTCCTTTGCAGGCGCGCAGCAAACGTGTAGAGTGACATTTTACTGCAGGCCAAGCTGGCAGCCTATGCCACACTCTGGGCAAGTTGAAGGAAAACTCCATCAGATGCAAGACATGGACAGCCCAACCTTTCAATTCACAGGTTAGCATAATAACCTCTAAGAAACTTTCAGGTTCCTTGTCGAAGGGGGAAGGCCAAAGATCACCCCTCAGCTGGCCAAAGCCATAGAAATGTTAAGACCAACTCTTTGCTAAGGAGCTTGTGGACTGAACGCATCTGACTGGTCTCCTGCGTCTCCATCAAGCCCACCACCAGGTCATCGGATGTTAATGTCTGGCGACGTCAAGATCTAGGGCTCAGGTGGCCGCAACCAACATCAAAGACCCCAGCCGTGGACAACGCTTTTGGCGCAGATCCCTCCAGGCCTAATCGCCCTTTACCCCAAAGGCCCTTAAATAGAGCTAGTTCTCGGGAATAATAAACTCTTCTTCCTTCTACTCCTTACTTGGTTGCAACCTTGCACTATTCCCGCGGTAGCCGCGGCCCACCTCGCCTCAG